TTAGTAGATGAATAATTGGTCAATCTAGTTGTTTTATTGCTTGTTTTACTCGAGGACAAGTAAAAATTTAAGTTTGGGGGTGTGTTAACCTCTAGAATTTCATGTTATTTTATCATATTTTCCTTAGATTCTAATCCATTTTGGCTCAATTGTGTATGTTTTTATTTCCCACATTAGGAAAATGTGTATTTCATTTTGGGTTTGTATTCTTAGCTTTGATTTGATATTTTTAGCCTAATGTCATGTTATTTTGATTGAAATTTTGATTAGAAGCATTTCTAGAGATTTGTGGATATTTTTTGAAGGCTTTTGGATGAAGAAATCAAGCACAAAATGAATGATTTTTGTTGGCTGCAAAAACAGTGCAAAATTGCCAAAGTCATCCTAAAGTCGTGACTTTTGTTCGCGACTTTCACCGCTGTCAGAAAAACGCTGCATTTCATTTATCAGAAATTAGATGGCTAGAACATATAAATGCTGAGAGCTCGACCCAGAACACATTCTTTAGACTTTTAAACACATTTAGAGCTTGGTTGTGTTAGGGTTTGGGCATTAGAAGAGTTATGATCAAGAGATTGAAGCTTTGAAGACATTTGGAGCTCATTTTTTTCAGTTTTTCTATTCCTCTTTCCTTTCCTCTCTTGTAATCTGAAATAGGCCCACTTATTTTGTATATTTGTAGCTTACGGATGATTATGAGTAGCTAAACTCTTTGTTCTAGAATTATTTGAAACTCTTGTATGGATTAACATTATATTTCTCCTTTCTTTTTGTGATTAATGACATATATGTGTTTATTATATTCTTTCTTTAATGCTTCTACATGATTGGCCACCATTTAGATGTTGGGTTCACTTAATTGATTCTTGAGAAGGCTAGGTTGAATGTAGAACTTGGGTAATATTGTATAAGAACTTGATATTTGTATGTTGAATGGATCGCTTTGCTAGTAAGATAGAGATATACTTGATAACCATGCATAGCTACATTAGGGTTGGTATTCAAAATTGAGTTTTATTAATTGTAATAAGAGATTGGGCAATTAATTTAACTAAACACTTATGCATGACTTGAGAGAGTTTATCCAAGTATTTTTAAAACCTTAGGTTAGCACTTATTTTCATTAAAAGTATTTATGAGAAGAAGTAATTTTGGTGTTATGAAATGCAAGGGGGATAAATAATCCTAGGTCCTAAATTGTGTTGGAAGTTTGTGAATCACTCACTTTTTTTTATTTTCTAGTGTTAGTTTCATTTGCAAAATCATTTTCACCTAACTTTATGTAGCTCAACTTGATCAAATTTACTTAATCTTTTGCTTGATTATAGTTTTTAAACAAATCCTCGAGGAAATGATATTTTACTCATTTATATTACTTGCTACGACCCGTATATTTGCAGTGAGCAACAGCTTTCATGGCTTTACATATTTGATTATCATAATAAATCTTATCAAATATGATTCACATAAGCTAATTTGTACTTAGGATCCAAAATCACAGCAACTACTAAAAAAGAATTCATGTTATATGTGTCTCCCTAATATTTATCATACTTTGTTTGCATGCTCATGCTCATGTCTCCCAAGAGAGGATCAAAATTGACAATATTTTGTTGCAACAAATTCCTAACATGTGAAATTTGGTGGAAGTATGTGTGGAATGTCATAGAAAGTGTGCTTGAGAATACTAAAGTGATGTTGTAAAATGCCTTATGGAACTTGAGAAAGACACGTGCTTTACTCCAATCTCTTTCATTAGGACATTGATGTTGAGGAGGAGAATCTTCATGTTCACGCCTAGAGGTGCGAGAATCATCTATGGTAAAGTGTGCACGATAGTTGTCATCTTCATTATGCATCCTCTCAAACATTTTTTGAAACTTCAAAGCAACTTCTAACATTAGGTAAGTGGAATTCCAATGTGTAGTAACATTCAAAAACATAAGGCTCTTCGTGTCTAATTTTTCTCCTTCAGACCAATTTTTAAATTTTAAAAACCTTGAAGGAGATGATCTCACGTATCTCACAGCATTTCTAATAGCATCAAAACTCTCTTTCAATTCTTTTAAGCCTTCAGTCACCACCAAATTTAGCATATGGGCACAACACTTTAGTTGTAAGTAATCCCTACTACATACTAGACCCTTCCAAGCTTTAATACTCCTCTTGTGATATGATAGAGCTGATTCATTCGTTGATGTATTGTCTATGGTTATTGTAAAGACCTTATTGACCCCCCAATCTATCAGACATTGCTCTATCATCTTTCCTATCTCGTCACCTTTGTGATTTTCGATCATATAAAAGTTGAGAATTCACTTTTGAAGATTTCATGCATGATCAATGAAGTGGGCAGTCACACACATGTAATTGAAGTTTTGATTTGATATCCAACAATCTGTTATTATGTAGATGTGATTACCATGCTTCTTTAATAATGTCTTTAACATCTTCATTTCTCCAAGACAAAGCTACCAACAATCTCTTGCAACAGTTACTCTTGATGGGATTGGAAACTTTAGTTCTAACTCATGTATTAATTTCTTGAATTTGAGCTTCTCCACAAGCCTAAATGGCTGCTCATCATAAATTATGAACTCTATAAGGGACTTTCGGGAGTGCTTCTCATTATACATATGAGGGACTAAGCCCCTTCCTTGGCCTTTTGATCCACCACTAACTGATACATAATTCAACATAGATTGCTTTTTATTTGTTGTTGCCTTGTGTAGATTCTCGGGACATTTTGGTATATGCCTCTTTAAAGAATTTGTCCCATGCTTGATTGGATCACAAGCATATATGATATTGCAGTATTTGCATTGTGCTCTATGCTCCCCATTTGTATCCTCCAATGGTAATCTCACAAAAAAATCCTAAACAAGTGATGTCCTAACCGCCTTCTTATCTCTTTTTGATAGTTCTGGTTCTTTTCTTTTCTGACCCCTACAGGATGCTTCTTAAGGGGCTTTTACTATGGTCGATAGAGGTTGAGTTTGATTATCATCATTTTCTGGGGGTGGGAATGGTCCAAATGGAGTGGGAGTAGGAGTAGTAATAGGTCTTATGAGAGTTGCTTTATCAATAAGAGTGGATGATATAGAAGGAAATGCATCAGTAGGAGTAGGAGTTCTAATTAAATTTTGACCCTTAATTTAAAACTCCTAAACATAAAAATAACACAACAATTAAAAATTTGAAAAGGAAAATAGCAGAGCTATTACATTTCCAACAGTGATTACAAATTTGTTCAACATGATGATATGTGAGAGAGTGTGGAGCTGTGTGGGACACAATGTGAAGTTTACAAACTTATCAAGACATGGTTCATCAATTTATTAGTTCAACATGCCAGATTAACACGAATTTTAAAACTACATTTCTCATTAGAATTAAAATTAAAAAAAATTAAATTATTGATATTATTTGAAAAATTAAAGATATTTAGTTTAATTTTAGAATCAATTTTGCAAGAATTAAACGATGAAGCTAGAATGAGCCTACAATAGACTCGGCAAGTACCTTTAATTTTGAGAGTAGCGATGAAGGTAGAATGAAGCCGAGGAAGGTAATAGCAGACAACAGACACAGCTTCACGAAGCTAGAGCAACCACACGGAGATAGCAAAAATGGCTTCTGCAACCTCAACTCCTCAGGCAACTAGAACTAGTCATAAAGCCTTGATGTTTGAACTCAAGAATGACGAGGTGAAGAAGGCAAGAGGCAAAGAGGAAGTGATGAGAAGAGGAAGCCGCGACCACAAAGAGCCTAGAGCTAATCAGAGGAGAGACTTCTTAGATGAGGTTGATGAGCGACTTTCGACTTCGAGAAGTTGTGAACTGTGAGTTTGTGAAGGCTGAACTACTAAAGATTGCTTCGTGCAGTTAAGTATTGACTAGGGTTTTCTTCTTCAGATTCAATCCTTAAACGGCACTATTCTATATATTTTATAAAAAAATTAACACCTCAGGTTGGGTCGAGCATTTTGGTTGGACATACTAGCCATAACCCTGCCCAGCCTGGTATTCGAGCAAGCCTAACCTTGCCCAAAAAAATGGGCAGCATTTTTTTCAATTGGGCAAGGCTAAAAAATCTCAAGTTAGGTTGGGTTTTTTGGCTTATCGGGCCACATGTTTAGCCCTACATGATTTATTCTAAATATATCAAAATATTAATTTATAATGCTTGTACAAAATATATAAATTGATTCAGTTAAGTAAGCAATGCCTAATATAGTTTATATCTATAAAATTTTTTCTTTTTTAAAAAATAATATGAGTTAAACGGGCCAGCTTGAACCCATCAAAGTTAACCTATATGATTCATGGATTATATAGTTTGGGCTAGAAAAAACTCATTTTTTTTTGGGTCAATTTTTTTCAATTCGACACGACTCTTATAACTAGTTATTCGAGCCAACTCATATAACCCAACCTATTTTTCCAGCTCTAAACATAATTATTAATTTCTATAATTTCATTAGCTTTTATTTTTAGTTCTTATAATTTTTTTATTATTTTCAATCTCTACAATCCTATCAAGAATTAAGACTAAGTGACATTTACTCCTCAAGTCTTGGATAATATTAAATTAAAAAAATTATAAGGACTGAAAAATAATACAGGGATTAAAAAAAATCCAAAAAAATTATATGGACCAATGATTATGGGCAAAAATTAGAATTAGAATTTTGGTCAAGTGACAAGAGTTTATAACACTCGCGTAAACCTGAATTTGGTTAAGCAGCCTTCTGCTACGTCACATTATTATCCATTAACAAATTAATTAACGACGAATTTAAAAATTAAAAGTGCAAAACCATATAGTATAATTTATTATTATTTTTAAAACAAAAGCACGCGCCAATCCCTTGCCCTTTCATTGCCAGCATCTTCGCACCGAAGTGTACTAGTTACTTGGAAGCTCCCTCTTGCGTGTGCGTGTGTGTATATAATATGCGCTCACCATATCACTACTTCCTCACTCTCTCGTCGCACCAAACAACTTGTTCTCCTTCAATGGAACCACCCACCGTCGCCGCCGCTACTCCGGCAACCTACCGAGGTGTTCGCATGCGAAAGTGGGGCAAATGGGTGTCTGAAATCAGGGAGCCCGGCAAGAAGACCCGGATATGGTTAGGGAGCTATGACACGCCGGAGATGGCAGCAGCTGCATACGACGTCGCAGCTTTGCATTTCCGAGGCCAAGCGGCACGGCTCAACTTCCCGGAGCTCATCAGCTGCCTGCCTCGGCCGGCAAGCTCCCGAGCTGAGGATGTGCAGTTGGCAGCACAGCAAGCAGCTTTGAAGTTAAAGAGACCGGCCATCAGAGGGCCGTCGGAGGCAGGAGGTGACTCTACAGTGGCTCCGCCGGCGATGGTGGGGCTATCACCGAGCCAAATTCAGGCGATAAATGAGTCGCCATTGGATTCACCCAAGATGTGGATGCAGATGGCTGATGAAGCTGCTCTGATGCCAGGGTTTGATGGATTGTCCAACGAAGACGAAGACGACGACGTATCAGGGTTAAGTGAATTGGAAGAAATGCAGCATTATTATGAATCCATATGGGACTTCTAATTACGCTTTTGTAATTTATAAGCTTAATTAATTATTAAAGGCAATATTATTGTACACAACATAATTGATGTTTTTTCTTTTTAACTTTTTAATTATATGAAGTAGGCAAATACTAGTCTCTTGGGGGAAAATTCGACGTGTATGTTTTGCAGACAAGCCTGAGGTTATATATATAATTTTATATATGCGGAAGCAAATCAATGAATAATTTGCCATCAATGATAATCATTTTTTCATGGTGCATAGTTATCAATCTTATAGGAGACAATCTTACTTAATATATGATCAAGTATTAAGTGTGTATTTAGTTTTTTATTTGTCACTCTCTTTGTTCAAAAATGTCAGATATTTTTAACCGAATCTCAACTCTAATAAAGTAATTATCCACTTTTTAACTAATCATATCTGTTTATATTTATCCCTATTACATACCTTATAATAAATATAAAATCATTATGAATAGGGGCACTTTAAAAAAAATGTAATGATTACACATCTAAAAATTAAAAATGTCTTATATTTTTAAATATCTAATTACTCAAAAAAATACCTTATATTTTTGAACAGAAGGAGTAAAAATTAATTTGTTAAAATTTTATTTGATAAAAATTAATTTAAATGAAAATCAATTGCAACAATAAAGTTTATATTTGGGTGCGTTTTTTTAAAAATCAGCCTGGTAAATTAAAAATTGTTTAAATTATATATAATAAATTATTATTTTTTTAAATATATAATTACTACAGAAGGCATTCATTTATGATATTTTGTAACTTTTGTTATAGAAATATGTAATATATTGAAATGTTTAAAAATGTGATAAAAATTTTAATAATACAAAATTTGATATATTAAAAAAATTACATAATAAATATTAAAAATTAACATAATTAATTTTTTAATTTATCATATACAATTTAATTTCTAATTAATCAAAACTCTGTTCACTTGAATGTGTTTAAATACAAAAGTATATAATTATTTATTACAATTTTTTAATATTCCCTCTTTTTAATATTTATTGTTTTTGTTTTATTTTGCTAATTTTTTCATTAGAACATGTTTTTAAATATGAAAAGGGTTCAATTTTTTTTTTTAGTCAAAGGCATTGAATTAGCCATGCTTTTTAATTTTATCTTGTAAAAGTCACTCGATCAAAGAGTATAATATAACTGACGTTGAAGTCGTCATTACATACTTTATCTAATCCCTTCAATTAAAATTATAAAATATTTTTTAAAAAGCTATATATTTAAAATATAAAATATTTTTAATCTTTTAAAATATAATTATTATTTTTTAAATATATTTATTAATAAATAATTTTATATTTATTATAAAATATTTAATATAGTAAATTGTAAAAAAATATAATTAATTTAAAAATAAAAAATTATTTTATTAAAAATTAAAATTTGATTAAAAATATTTTAAATTTTTTATTAGAAAAAATATAATTTAATTTATAAGGGAGGCACTGATAGAATGAATGATAGAGACGGCAGAGTAATAAATGCTGGAGAAGTATCAAGGTACGAAACGTGCTTTCAGACCTTGAAAAACTCCAAAGTATAAAGTTGTTCAAATTTATATTTAAATATTGTTTTAATATATTTTTTTAAAGTTAGTTTGCACAAGAATAAATAGCCAAAAAAACATATGAATTCTGCAAAGTGAAAAAGTACTTCGCAAATGTTAAAAATTACAAAACCAAACAGATCTTAAGTAGAAACCTTAATTCGCTGCAATGAGAAAAACATGTATTTTAGTTCAATGCTAATTATTTTGAATTCCCATTATTGTTTTAAAAAAAAAAAACGATGACTCTCTCACTCACACACACACACATTCAATATAAGATCTGCAAGAAGAGCAATTGGATATCTCTCATACAAGACAGTAGTGTCAAACATTTGACTAAAGTACCTGTTGTCCAATAATTCTGCAGATAATATCAAGTGTCCCTTTTTATTATATAACTAATTATTTGTAACATCATTATATATAATATTTATTTCACATTACATTATTTATAAATTACAAATAATACTTTTTTTTTTCAAAATTTGTGCAGTGTAGATACGAAAATCATGTCTAATTGAACTGGGATATAAATGTAGACATATAATTAGTCATGGGACATTTTACACATGATATCATTTGGAATTTTACATTTGTATCTGAAAAAAAAAATTATAATGTTTTGTTATATTTTAAAGGGGAAATAGTGAAAAAAGGACCGCTAAAGAAAATTTATAACAGTGAATAATTAGTTATTGTTAAAATTTAAATAGAAAAAAAAATTCAAATAAACTATTGTTAATTTAAAATAAGTTATTGTTAAAACTCGAATAGATATTTATTGATAAAAAACTAACTTGAATCAATAAGTATCCATTTTGATTTTAACAATAAGTAATTCTCGACTGATATAAATTTTATTCAATGGTTCTTGATTGATATTTTTCCTATTTTAAATTTATAGATTAATCAATTTCATAATTAGATGTCTTTTTGAAGGAGTAATACTCAGCGGTTTAATTTTTGCTCAAAAAAAGAAAGACTTTGGCCTGCAAATTATAGCTTTTTCCCCCCGGTTTTGATGAGGCTTTTATCTTCCCCCAGTTCCATAGAGGAATATATTACTGATATTAATAGTTTTTATAATGCAAAAGACTTTTTATCTTGGATTTCTAAAGTTTAAATTGACAATGCCATTAATATTAATATCAAATACAACATTTATAGTAAGTCTCATTTTTTAGAAATTATAAACAGTGTAATTCATTTCTTAGATTTTATATGATACCACAGTTCACCCTCATTAAATTTATCAGTGATGTTGTTAAGCTAGTCAAGCTTTTAGGAATTTGAATGGACGATCATTTTCAGACAAACTAGTTAAATAAATTTTGAATTTTAAAATAATTAAAATTTGCTGGAAATTATTTAGTCTGATGAATTATGAATTTAATGCCGACCAAACTCCATTTGGACCTACAAAGCAAGACTCTGTGGATACTTGACATTGGGGAATTTATTACTGATAGGCCTAGAAAAGATGTCAAGGAATCTTCTTTTGAAAAGGCCAAGCACATGCCTTTTACTTCTCGCCATGACTTTTCTTTTGTTATAAATTTAGGGAACATTTGCACGAGAAGCTGTTAAGCAATTCAACAAAAAAAAAAAAAAGTAGTGCTTGTTATAATTGCCACTGCAAAGTTCAGCAATATAAAACAGAAAATCCAAGGCCCATTTATTTCGATTTATTATATTTCTTTAAATTACTAATAAAAGGTATTTTTTAAAAATTAATGGGGCAAGCACTAACAGCTTAATACTACAGGGTTGATCAAATATGCGGCATTTCACTTACATAAAAGCTTACTGGGCCATAATTTGAAATGTGAAGTATCTACTCCTTTGTGAATAATTATAAATTATTTTTAATATGTTTCATCAAAATTAATAAATAATTTAAGCTTCATTAATTCTATATTAAAATTTAATAAATTTTTACCTTAATAAAGATAAAATGTATTATTTGAATAATTTTTTAACATTTAATAAGGGTAGAAAAGTAAAAATATACATAAAAAATATATTTTATAAATAAAATTAAAATTAATTTTTTTTATCCGCCTTGTTTATTAGAAGAGTATCTATCTATGATGTTCTTGAAATCATTACTTAATAGTGACTATTTTTTGTACTCCTTCCATCCTAAATTATAAGATATTTTTAGACAAAATCTCATATATCAATAAATTTTATTAAATACACTTAACAACCTTATCTTTTTAAAATAAAAATATAAACTTTTAAAGATACTCATCATTTAATACATTAAAAAGAGAAGTGAAAATTAATTATAGAAAAAGAGGATAAAATTAAAATTAGTGCATTTAATAAAACTTTAATCTCTTCAAAATATCTTATATTTTAAGATGAAAATAGTATTTCAAATCTACCTTGTATTTTGAGAGAGGGAGTATGACTTTTACACTTCTCATCCTGTGAACTGATATAGTGCGTGTTTAAAATGAAGATAAACAGGCGTTTTACAATTTCGGTGCCACCATCGTTAAGTTGTTTTTTTTCTTCTTTGATATTAGTTCAAAAAAATTATAAATATGAATACAATATATTTGAAAAACATTTTAGCCACCGGAAAACACAAAGGCAGAATGACAATAAAATATCTATAAAATAGGGAAATGATAAATAAGTGTCACAAAATATGATAATTATTTTATAGTTCCAAAATACTTGGACAGCATTTTGGTTTCATAGATCATTAAGTATATTATTCCTTTCTTTCTTTACATTACTCTTTCTTTTAAATGATCTATATTGTAGGTACACACATTTTTTTTCATATAATGTTTGAATTTTAAAATTTATTAATAATATAACATGTAGTAAAATAATGCTCCTTGCAATTAGTGAATACTTTGTGAAAGCGGACCAAATAGTGAAAGTGATGGCAGCCCCAAGAGAATGAGACTAAAAAATTTATAGGCATTATGGCATGAATTTAAAATTAAGGTGATCAAAACACTAAATTCTTTCATGCAACATTTGTTATTAGAAGAAAAAGGAACCAAACTCTTTCGCTCCAAGATGATGATGCCACTTGGGTTCATGACAAGAATGCACTGAAAAATATGACTGTTTCTTGCTTTGACAACCTCTTTAAGGAAGAAATAGATGTCAAACCTAAGCTTAATTCTGGTGGAAATTTCCCACCTCTTTCCCCTATTCAACTTCAAACTATTCTCAGAAAGGTGACTGAAGAAGAAATAAAAAATACAGCCTTTGAGATTGGCGCCTTCAAAGCCTCGAGCCCTGATGGTATCAATGCTGGCTTTGTTCACACTTATTGGGATGACCTAAAACTCAACATTTTCAAGTTAGTCAAAAAAGTCTTCATGGAACCTAATACCATTAGGATGATTAATAACACCTTTATTACTCTTATCCTAAAGAATGATCATCCTACCTGTATGAAAGATTTTCATCTTATATCCCTCTGTAACGTGACCTGTAAAATTATCACCAAAATCCTATCCAACCGGCTTCGCACTTACATGAACCACTTAATCAACGATAATCAATGTAGCTTCATACAAGGGCGTCAGAGTAGTGATAACATTATTATTGCTCAAGAAATCATCCATACTATGAGAAATAAAACAGGCAAAAAAAGTTTCATAACCCTTAAAATTGATTTCGAAAAGGCTTTTGACAAGTTTTCTTGGAACTTCATTGATGATACTTTCTAGTCTACTAGTATCAACAATCACTTTAGAAAGTTAATTCAGGCCGCCATCTCTACTACTTGCATGCGAGTCCTTTAGAATAGAGAACCTACTAAGGAATTCATGCCCTCTCAAGGCATTTGACAGGGAGACCCTCTCTCTCCTTATCTTTTTGTACTTTGCATAGAGCATTTAAGTCATTGCATCAATATTAGTATTGATAAAAATGAATAGATGCCTATTAGATTAACAACTAATAGCCCTTCTATCTCTCATTTATTCTTTGCTGGCGACCTTTTGCTTTTTGCAGAGTGCTCTCTTTCATAAGCTATGATCATCCAACGATGCCTTTCTAACTTCTGCAATGCATCGGGTCAAAAAATAAACACTGAAAAATCCAAACTCTTCTATTCCAGGAATGTCAATGTTAATAGAGCTTTACAAATTGGTGAAGAACTATGGATGCCCCTCACAGGGAATCTTGAAAAATACTTTGAAATCCCTATTATTCATGAAAAGGCATCTAAACTCACTTTTGCCCCCTACTTGATAAAACAAATTTTCGCTTGGTAAACTGGAGAAGTAAATATCTAAACATGGCTGGAAAATCTGTTCTCTTCAAATCTATTCTATCCGCTCTTCCTAGCTACACTATGTAGACTATGCTCTTACCGAATAATGTTTTGTCTGAATTGGAAAAAATCTCTAAAAACTTTCTGTGGGATTCTTCTGATAGAAACAAAAAACCACATCTCCTTTCATGGGACAAAATTACTATGGATAGAAAAAATGGGGTATTAGGACTCAAGAAGTTGAAAAACTAAAATATTGCCTATATCATCTATGTTGGGGCCTTATCTCCAAGCCAAACTATCTTTGGGTCCGGATTCTCCGCAACAAATATAAATGTAACAAACCAAAATTTTAATGATAGTCAAGCCTAACCCTTACTCTAACACGTGGAGCAGCATTTGCAAAGCTTGGGATAAATTCATGTCTTATGTAGGTTGGAAAGTTAGTAAAGGAGATCAAAAATTATTCTGGTATGACAAATGGTCTCCGCTCCCTAACCCTCTTGTCAAGCATGCTTATCTAAAAGCTGATTCTATTCTCCATGCTAGGGTCTTAATTTTCGCAGTAATTCAAGAGGACGGAACTTAGATCTTTTAAATCATTACCTCCACTTGGACGTAATTAGACAAATTTTACTTGTGCAACCTTCTAACCATCTCAAATGGAAACTTTTCCATAAAATCTACTTATAGAGCCATGGATTTTCATAAGGATCAACATCACTCTGATATATGGACAAAAATTAGGAAGTGGCCCACATATGAAAAAATAAAATATTTTTCATGGAAAGCTTCCCCAAATCGTCTTCAGAGAGCATCTGGGGATGCTTCCTATTAACGTCTATGCCCATTTAGTTGTCACTCTCCTGATTCTTCAATCCATATTTTACGTGATTATGAAGAAGCTAAAAAAGTTTGGAAAAATTTAGTGAATCCTACGAGACTTAACACCTTCTCTTTTAATGTGCATGATTTGATAGTATGAAATGCAAAAAATGAAGTAGGAAGTTTAAGAACAAAAAGAATGCCATGGCAGAAACTCTTTGCACAAGCCTGCTGGAATATTTGAAAAGCTAGATGCAGCAAATTATATTGGGCAAATGACATCCCAAACAACGATATTGTCTTCTCTAACACTCAACAGATTAATAATGATTTAAAGCTTCTATCCAAAATCACCCGCTTCGGTAACTACAACACTACAGAAGACGGGAAATGGAGTCCACCTAAACCCCGATGGGTTAGACTTGATACCGACAGTTTTATTAACACTAATGGTGCAACAGCATGTGAAGGCATCCTCAGGGATGGTAAGGGAAATTGAATTAAAAAATTTTTCAAGTCCCTCAGATATCAACCTAGCATAGCAGCAGAACTTATGAAAATTCTTGAGGGACTAAATCTTTACTGAAATTCAAAATTACTAAGAATCAATATCCACTCTGATTCAAGGAGTATTGTCACTCATTAACTGTACCTATTCTAACAGACATCCTTATTCTGACACTATCAAGAAGATCAGAGATCTTGTTATGAGAGATTGGATGGTTACTTTTAACCATGTTCATAAAGAAACAAACAAAAGTGCTGATCTTTTAGCTCACCGACCTCCGCATGAAACCTTTAATATTATGATTTTTGATGTACCACCGCACGAGTGTAGAAGCCTTATGGTTTTAAATATGAATAGATCTTATTGCACGATTTTATCATGGCTTTATAATTCAAAAAAAAAAAAACAAATCCTTGTAAATAAAGTCCAAAATGTAAAGAGAAAAAATTAGGTATAAAGCTATTAAATATGCGTTCGTTCTAGGAAAATGAACTATGACCACTTAATTACAAGGTCCCGACCTTAAGTTCATGTAAATGCAAAAAAAAAAACATGTTTGAAAGAACTCTCTTTGACCCAATCAGATAATTATATATATATATATATATATATAAAATGAATAAAGCTCACTCAGATTCTTTCCGCTCCTTTACCACACATAGATTGATAATTTCAATTAAAATCACCCATCCTATTAAAGTGCGATAATAATGTATAATATTCTCTCTTAGTATAAAATTTTCTAAAATTCTCCAGGAAATTCTATTAAGAAAAATGCCGCTTTTCAAATGATTTATCTCTTAGAAGTGTTTAGCTTGCAAAGTACTGTTGGGTTCTGGGTAAAGTTACAGGAAAACCATACTGAGTCTAAACTTTGGACAAGTAACATGAGCGGCATTTTTTTTTTTTAAATAACTTATCAATAAGGTAGATTCCTATGAATAAAATTACACATGTATGGAGAAACAAAGATGATGCAAAGCCATGCTCGCATCTCAAACTTAAAATCGGTGATTTAATTAAATATCGGTTCATGCAGCAAGGTCAAGTTGTACCAACTAAAGAGTCTTGGTACCTGCACAAGCTGACTGGCCCACAAGCCTATCATCTGGTGTGTATTAGGAAGGCTATCTGAAGGGGATGATGGCAGTGATTGGTATGGGTTCCACAGATAATATTCTACCCTGATTTGGATTCAGTGTATAAAGCCAAGCATGCCAGCCCAGACAGCTAAATATTCAAGAGATAATAACAAAAAATTCTCAAGAAAAGTCAATCTACAAGAGATAGATAAATCAGGTCAATCATGAATACACTAGAAAACATGTCAGAAATAAGTCCCACCAAACAATTTTGAATTTTAAATTTATCAAGAGAATGTGAATTATGTATTTCACACAAAGAAAGATACTAAATACGAGGAAATTAGTTCTCTTATTTCTTACATGTAATCCCCATATTAATTGTCTTTTCTCTCTCTCCATCCCCCCGCCCAAGAAAAAAATCAACCACAAATATCTCAAACGGTCCAAATGTTCATAAGCTAATGATGTAAATATACTTACAGGCCACTTTCATACCAGATATGGCTTACATCCTTTCTGTAAATCAAATATTTTGACAAGAATAAATTCTCCCATTAACCAAGCTGCAAAACCAATCCAGAAAACCACATGCTTACCTAAAGATTTTTTCAGAACCATCAAGATGACAAACAAAGCTGGCTGGTAGCTCCTCTCAACTTAACTTAGGCTTCTTGTTAGATCACTTTCACTCATCATGTTTAAAGATAATGTGAAATCTTGCTTGCATATCATTTCCAGCCTCAATTACTATTATGAAAAACCAAACTTCAACTGAAGGTCTTCAACTTGAATGACGTCAATCAATTGTCCTTAATTATTGATGACAGAAGACAATGGCAGTTGTATATTAGAAGCAGTGACTGAAGCAAAAATAGGAAAAATTATTGTTAATGTTAAGAAAACTTTTCCATAAAAAACAATGGAGCCCTGATTAAAAACTTCTTTTCATCTCCTATGGGAGCAAGCAAGTTAAATGTCCTGTAGGAGGTGCTGATGAGTCATGTTTATCACACATATATTGCTCAGTCCACTAATCCTGTTAAATAAAATATCAGTAGCTCATACAGTCCTCCCACAATTTGAAACTTAAAACAGGGGATAAATGCAAACACACCCCTTCAACTATAGGTTGTTTTCAAACACCTTTTTCAAATGGGAATAAATGCAAATACACCCCTTCGTCTTTAGGTTGTTTGCAAAGGCCTCTTTCAACTTGGAAAACTGAAAATTAGGCCATTGAAGCTGTTGTTGCAAAGGTAGGGAGACAAAAAAAAAAAAAAGTATAAAGAAGGAAATCTGAAAGAAATCAGCCTCATTTACCACCAATCAGTACCTGAACTGAAATAGCACATATGTGATTAACTGGTCAAAACTTGTCTGTTTGGGGCTTACAATGGAAATGCTGAGCATTTAGCAAAACCTCTGTACAAGATTCAGCATCCGTGTTTACTTCTCAATAATGCTCCTGTATCTACTCATTAATTCTGACTGCATTGCTTTTGTATTTGACTTCTCAAGATGCTTACTCACCGACATGCAAACCCGAAAATTAGGCTTAAGACCCTTATCCATCATCTCATGCAGAATCTTCGAGGCCTGCAGTACATTGCCTTTCTTCAAATGAAGGGCTGCAAGCAAACTGTAGTTTGCATTGCTTGAATACCTCTGCTTTGTAACAGAATCAACCACAAACTTATGTGCTTCCTCATATTTTTTTGATCTGAAATAAGCCTTAATTATTGCAGCATTAGATGCAATACAAGGTTCAATACCCCTCCCAGTCATTCTATCAAGAAATTCCAATGCTAAATCAAAATGGCCACGTTTACACAGGAAGTTAATGAATATATCACATGTACTTGCATCTGGCAAACCATAGTCCTTTTCTATAGCTTCAAGCAATTGGGTAGCTTCAGCAAATTTCCCATTTGTGCATAAACAACTAATGACCATATTATAACTAGTTATATTTGGAGCACAACCATTTTGTTTCATCCCTTTTAGCAATTTCCATGCCCTTTCACAATCCCTTCTTCTACAAAACTCTCTAATCAAGACATTATAATGTTTCACCTTCCTCCCTGCTGTACCTATAACAAACTCAGCTATATCAAACGAACCAGAAACACAAAACATTTCTATCAATGACCAGATGCCTGAAGTTTGACACGACCCTCCAACCTCATTTAACACAGACATTACTTTCTTTGTAGATTCCATAAGAGAAGCTTTGTGCAAACTTGAATCTAGCAAGAAACCAAATGCTTTTTGCTCCAAACGCACACATTTAAGGTTAAATTCTTTCAAAATGGGAACCATAACCTCATAATTTTCCAATCGCCCACAATTATCAATAACCAGACTACATAAATGCGAATCATGACAAAATTCAGGATGCGAAGCCACAAGCCAATCAAAGAATCGCAATGCTGACACTCTTTCACAAGAAAACGCCTGAAAAATTTTTACACATAACGGTATGGATAAAGTTACGTTCTTCCCATTCAACTTGGAACTCAAATCATTCTCGCCCCCTCTCAACAAGTCAATTATTTCAGAGACTTGCTTCGCAGTTGCATCCGGGGTACACCGATCACTAGAAGCAAAATACGACCTAAAATACCTACGAGTACGAGGCCTATACAAATCAATCTTCAAGTATATGTCTCCACCGCGAATCTGTAAGGATGAAGAAGGACTAACAAACTGGTATTTGGTTGTGAAAACTGAAGAATTCAGAGAGGCCGCGAGTGAAAGAAACTGAATCTGATGTAAAAATTTGAAGGGGGTCTTATCGTAGGTAAGGTAGTGGAAAAGATTGGTGGCAGCAAGGAGTGAAGGAATAGAAATTTATAAGAGAGAGGTTTCAAGGAGTACCTGATAGTGTTGCAGAAGTTTCGGATTTCCATACGATATTTTGAGCTCGCATTCACTTCAAACCCTAAATCATATCATACTCACCAAAATCTCCCAATTTTATTGCAACCTTTGTTCGATTTTTTTTCGTAGAAGAGTCTTTTACTCTCTCCAGTTTCAAGTCAGAGTGAAAATTGCTTTTCTGTAAATCTATTATCATCCCCACCGGCTCGACTTCCCCGCCTCTTTCTTTTCAGTGCACTCTTTAGTCTTCACCCTTCTTCAGCCCTCTCCTCCTCCTCCATCTTTTCTTTTCTTTTCTTTTTCTTCTTCTTTTGATCTTGTCTCCCTCTTCCTTCCATTTTTTTTTTCATGAAAAACATTTAAAAAATGATGATTTAAAAAAAATTATTTCTTTTATTAAAAAATATAAAATATCTTTTAACGAGTTAGATATTAAAAATATAAAATATTTAATAATTTTTTAAAGTATAATTATTATTTTTTTAAGAGTGCTCCTATTGATAATGACTTTATATTTATTATAAAATATTTAATATGGATAAATATAAAAAAAATAAAGTTAGTTTGAAAGTAGGTAACTATTTTATTAGGGGTGAGATTCGGTTAAAAATGTCTTAGATTTTTAAACGGAGGGAGTATATACATACATTTATATATTGAATATGTTTATTTTTAATTAAATTAAGATTAAGATGTGTGAATTTTGTTAATATTTTATTTAGTCTATAAAAATTTTTTGTTTTGATTTGATTAGATAAAACTCCATTAAACATATGAGATATATTATTATTTACTCTAAAAAACATCTTGTTACTAAAATTTTCAACACATTAAAATTTATTTATTTCGATTTGATCTAATGAAAGTGCATTGAACATATAAAATTGAGTACCCAAATCTTGTCCTTATCCTTGTTTCAGCTGTGCCTCATTACTGCATTAACGTAAAAAATAAATTCTTATTATTAAGATATTAGTGGTGTCAATTTGAAAATTACCTATCATATTATGAACACTAAGAAATTCTAAGGTAAATTGGATATATCATGTAATTTGTGGTATGTGGAATTAGAATGTAAAATATTATTTTAATTGATTTTAATCTTATAATAGACTGCATATTTAATTTTTTTTACATTTTTTTTACTGTTATTAATGTTTGAATCAATTTATATTGATGTCATGTGAATATATGTTTTTATTGGACAAATCACAAATAACATGATATATCTAGTCAACCTAAGAATTTTTCAATGAACACTAATACTCCCTTATAAAAAGAGAAAAATAGTAAAATGCAAAGAAAATTTGATGATATCACATATTACTCTATATGCGTTTTAGATCAGGCCAAGTTACAATATTCGAAAGTTATTATAAGTAATTTAACTTATTGTTAACAAAAATATGTTGAATATATGAGTTCCCCTATGTATCGTCTTAATTATATCATCTTAAAAGAAATATTTAGGAGATAATAAAATTGAGCTCAACTTTTTTTGTTGCAACATGTATATTTTTATTAAAAATAATTTTGTTTGAGATATAATTAAGCACTAAAAGATTAAAAATTTTACCGTTATTTAAAGGACATAACAATAGATACCAAATAATTTAAAAGAAAAGGAAACTTGACGTTAAAGTTTTAATGGCAAAACTTCAATACTTAGTGTGGTATATTTAATATACTTTTTGTTCAATCAAATCAAAAGAAATGACTTTTAAAATAATAATAATATAATAATAACAAAAGTTTGTTATAAAAAAATACTATATATATACTCCATTTAAAAATATAAAGCCTTTTTTGAGAGATTGGATGTTCAAAAATATAAAGTATTTTTAATTTTTTAAAGTATAATCATTACCTTTTTTTAAAAAAGTGCCCCTATTGATAATAAATGTATATTTATTGTAAAGTATTTAATAAGAATAAATATAAAAAGATAAGGTTAATTTAAAAGTAGGTGACTACTTTATTTAGAAGTGAAATTTAGTTAAAAACGTTTTACATTTTTTAATAGAGAGAGTATATATATATATATATATATAATTTTCATGTTTTAATTTGATGGAAAAATTGCCCGAAAATCCCTCACCAATAAATTTATTACTCTATGGTACTTGGAAATTGGAATTAGTTGAATGACTTAGGTCCTTTAGGAAAATAAAGATTAATATTTAAATTGTCAAAATGCCCATACTCAATCTTCTATGATGTACATTTTTCAAAAGGTTCAATTACGTTTTCATGAAAATTGAAGTTATAGTTAAATGTTCACAACCATTTTGACGGAAAAAGAAAAGTAATTTTCAGAACATTCAATTGCATTTTCATAAAAATTGAAGATATATTCAAATAGCCATGAACATTATCCTAAAAATTGAATACACATTCGAATGTGCACATTAATCAATGTCATAAAAAATCACATTCTCAATATTCTCTTGCAAGTGCAAATTTCTTCCGTATGTGCAAGGAATGTATCGGTAGATGCAAAATACTATCATAAAGTTGTGTGTTTTGTTTGGCGCAATAAATATTTCATGAAATGCAGTTTTCTTCTATCATCTACAAATATCTTCCATGAGTACACACTTTCTTCATTCACATGCAAGGTCCTATTCGGGTGCAATATATCTTCCATGATATGCAAATGCCTTCCGTCATATGAAAATATATTTCATTAGTGCACATTTTCTTCCATAAAGAAATTTAACATTCCAAATATTGACAGCAAAGGACCTTGGTCCTTTAAGGTTCCCCAATATTGATACAGAAGCATCCCAAATATTGACACCAAGGGTCTTGGATATTCTTTTTTTTTTAATTTCATTAAGGTTGGGTTTGGATGGCGGATTTAAGTTAGGAATTTGAATTTGAAATCTCACATTTGAAATTCATAGATTCTAAATTCTTTGTTTGGATGATATAAAAAATTTCAAATTATAATAGTAAAATTTTTTATTTGGATCTAAAGTAAAATTTCAAATTTTAAATTCTATATTTAAATTTAAAAGAAATTTGGATGACTAGTCCAAGTGAACAGTTCAAATGGCCAACTTCTATTGGATTAGATAGTCAAAGCCAACTAGGATTGTAGCACCGAAGACAATCGGGACGGGATGATCGACTTTATCGGGACTGAATTGACAATGATAATGGGGACTAGACGACCAACTTTCAACAGAACCTGACTGACGGTGACTGGACGACCAACTTTCATGAGAATCGGATCCATGGCGATGATAGTAATCAGATGACTAACTTCTACCCAAACTAGATTGATAGGGATCGAACAGTTGACTTCTACCGAAACTAGACTTATAGAAACCACCAGGATAGGACGATCGACTTCCACTAGGATCGGATGGCCAACTTCCATCGAGACCGAACTCGGTGGAAGTTAGTTATCTAGTTTCAATGGAAGTCGGCCTTTTGATCTTTGTTGTCATCGTCATTCAGGTCCTAATGAAAGTCAATTGTCCCCTCCAAGTCGTCGCTGTTGCCATTAGTTCAATTCTGATGGAAGTTAGTTGTCTGGTCTTAATCAACGATGGCAACTTGTTTCCATCAACTTCAATGATCCAGTTCAATTACTATTGGTGGGTCGATCAAGTCTTCGTGGACATGGGTCAAATTTAGTTAGAATTTAGAATAATAAATGTTTATAAAGGATTTCAAATTACAAAATAGATTGAGGTGGAACTTGGATTTAGTTTGATCCATACATTTTTAATTTTTCAAACAATAGATTCGATTTAAATCCAAATTCAAATATAGATCTATATGTATCCAAATATAGCAGAAGGGCATTCAAGTCATTTATCATTCCAGAAATATCGACAATAAAGAACTTCAGTCCTTCCATAGATTCCTCTCCAAGTACCTTTGAGCAATAAATTTGTTGGTGAGGGAGTAGTTTTCCTGAATTTGATTGAAAATAAGCCCCTCAAACTTCATAAAAGTAAGTATATAAATAATTTTCTACTTCTAAAAACCTTTGGTGCTTTTGTTTCTTCAACTTAAAATAATGCATTGGAGGAGGGTCTTAATAAATTTTATACTAGAAAAATCGCAACGGGATGAAATTATCCTATAGGTTTGATGGCTTTTTTTGCAAACATGTTTTAGGAGGAAAAGACATAATTGTCCTTAGTGAGGAAGAAAAAATTTCTAAGTTCATTACCAATGGACAATTACTTGTTAATATGTAAACCGAAAATTGTGAATTTTTGAGTATTTAGTTGTAATAATCTGAATTTGCTGTCATGATAAATCTTAATTTTGAATATATAAAGTCATAAATTATAATTTTAAACTTTAAGTTGTGAATTTATAAAATAGGTCAAGACAAACTTATCAATTCAAAATAAAAATTTCACTACCAATGTACAATGTGAACCTAAATTTGTGAATTTGTAAACATGTAGTTGCAAAAATCTAAATTGTGTCAGGAGGAGCCTTAGATTTGAATATATGAAGTCATAAATTCTGAACTTTGATTTATGAATAGAAAAACATATACTTGTGAATATCCGAACTTTAAGTTTTGAACTTAGCCAACATGTACTTGACAACTCTGAACAAAAAATTCACAATCAATGGACAATTACTAGTTAATATATGATTTAAAAGTTGTGAATACATGTGAACATCATGTTGTAAAAATTTAAACTTTAACTTGTTGTATTTTCTCACAAAGGACAATTGTGACTTTTCTTTCTAAAACATATTAGACACCTAAGAATTTTTTTTGCTAATATGTTTTAGAAATAAAAGACACAATTGCCTTTTGTGATAAAATACAGCAAGTGAAAGTTTAAATTTTTAAAACATGATGTTCACATGTATTCACAACTTTAGGATTATATATTAATAAGTAATTGTTCATTGATTGTGAATTTTTTATCTAAAATTGATAAGTTAATGTTGCCTAAGTTTACAACTTAAAATTCGGATATTTACAAGTATATGTTTATTTATTCATAAGTCAAAGTTTAGAATTTATGACTTTATATATTCAGATCTAAAGTCTATCATGACAATGAATTTAGATTGTTATAACTAGATGCTCACAAATTTATAATTTTAAGTTCACATATTAATATATAATTGTCTATTGGTAATGAACCTAAAATTCTTTTTCTTCCTCACTAAGGGCAATTATGTTTTTTCTTCCTAAAACATATTTCCAAAAAGGGCCATCAAACAGGATAATTTCATAATGCATTTAGCCTTAAGTCCAATTTTTTCCT